GAGTTTGGTTTTCCTAAAATAAACCACTTTACTTGGAGGTAAAGTCCTTGCTACTCAAACCATGTGTGGCATCACCAATTGCAACAACGCTGCTCAGACATACCACACTGCTTTTCACAGCTTCAGTGATCTTGTAAAGAAGTTTTTGAGGGTTTTTTTAATGGTGATGTAAGTACAGACCCACCCCAAGTCTATATTTCATATTATCATTTAATGATCTATAATTAGGAGTTCTATAATTCTAAATTATATTTATTATATACGGGAGGTGGAAAAAAGCTCTATCTAAGGAATGAATTAATTTAAGGAAATTATTGTTTACTCTTTGCAATGATCAGTTGGATTGATTTTCTTTTGTCCTACATGTTTCCATAAGTGCAGGTCAGAGAATCCTGGAATGGGTATTATTTTTACAAATGAAATGGTAAGAGCTGCTCCCTCAAGTCCTTTCTCCAAAGGAAATTGTCGGTGATGTGGATCTGGAGTTCTTTCAGGTACAGTTCTTTAGGATGCACTTCTTTCTCAGGTACCTTTAGGAATATATAAAATAACATAAACTGTCCCATGGTGACCGGGAGAGCAGCACCATTTATGCACAGAGACAGGAAACTGGGAAGGTCTAGAAAGAATTTACTCTTAAAAATGTATTTCCAAACAGGTACATAATGAACACGGGATGAATCTGGTGTGGATAAACTCCTAGAACCACAATTTCTCTTCAGGAGCTCTGACAGGCGTGTGCTGCTTCCCTCTACCGACCCCCAGTGTCGGTGCCGAGGTGGAACACACAGATCAACCAAAAATCAGCACAGAAATTACAGATTCTTCGATTAGTAAAGGGAAAAAACCCTCTGCAGAGCTAAACGGGGTAAAAAACTAAATTAAATACTAAATATACTTCAATTCAGAGAATTCTATGCACGTCTGTGATGAAAACCAGCTGTTTGTGGCCTCCCTGGTTATCGCTCTTGGTCTCTTGATACAGAATCTCAGCTGATCCTCTTTGGGAGAGGCTGAAGGGATAAAGAACAGGTACAAAATGACAAACAAGAGGAAAAATACTCCCCTCCCAGTCCATAATAGAGAGTTTGGGCAATAAGGTAGGCTATTAGGGGGTATTAGGGAATGTGAAATAGGTACAACATCAATGACACCATCAATTTATTGATTGCAGTGAGAGCTTCCTGCAGGGTCCCAAATTCACAGGGGTGAAAAGGATCTGTCTTCCTGGGCCAACTCACACTGAAACAGGGAAGATCTGGAGAAAACACCCCAGTGACTTGGCAGGAGAGGAAAAAATGCCCAACTGAGTAATAAACAGGAAGAAGACAGGAAGAAGCGACTCAGTGGTTTCTCTGCTCTGCTCTAGACCGTGGTGTTTTCTGATCCCTCTCAACAACTGCTTTGTTTTTTTTGTTTAATGTGTCTCCTGGTGGATTCCAAACAATCCACATCCAGGCTGGAATGATGAGGTGGCTGCAGGCTGGGAGAAGATCTGGAAGGAGCTGGGGTTTCACTTCAGCTGTGTCACAGGCGCTCCCTCTTGTCCTTACCAACGTCAGTCGCTGTCTCTGGAGCTCCAGAGCTGGAATTTCGTGTGTTGGGGGGTTCTTTTTGCTTCTTAAACCACTGACAATTTGCTCTGTGCCCTCCTCCCTGTTATCACTATGGCTGGGAACGACTTCCTGAAGGCTGGGGCAAGAGGCAGCTCTGGGGGCCCTCACTGCTCTGCAGCCGGAGGCTCTTCCTCGTTCTCCTGCTTCTCCGGCTGCGGTTCCGGCGGGATGAGGCACTGCACCTCCTCGGAGCTGATGGCCACCTTGTCAGGCTGCAGCCAGCGCTTCAGGTGCTCCAGAGTGCTGGGGGACAGAGAGACACACGCTGAGACCAGGCAGCAACAAAGCCTCGCAGGAACACGCGGAAGGAGCGACGGGAAAAGCCTCCACAGGTAATTCCTGCCCCTCTGTGGGTATTCCTGTTCCCACAGGCGAGGTCTAGCATTGGATTGATCCATATCCCAGAGGAGCAAGCAGATTCTGGCATTCTACAAAGCCATTCTGCGGCAGTTGGGCTTTATACACTCTGGTTAGGAAAGCTTTACGCTCTGATTTTTCTGAGTGTAAAGGATTCTTTTCAACCTTTGCACATCTGGAAGTTCTCTGTCTCTGATGCCAAAGATTCCAACTCAATCAAACTGCCAGAGGACAGGGTTAGATGGGATATTGGGAAGAAATCCTTCCCTGGGAGGGTGGGGAGGCCCTGGCACAGGTTGCTCAGAGAAGCTGTGGCTGCCCCATCCCTGGGAATGTCCAAGGCCAGGTTGGACAGGGCTTGGAGCAACCTGGGATAGTGGAATGTGTCCCTGCCCATGGCAGGGATTGGAATGAGATGGCCTTTTAGGTCCCTTCCAACCCAAACCATTCTATGCATTTCCAGCTTTCTGGGCTGGAAGAAAAAAAACCTTGTGTTCAAACCAACCAAGCCCCCAGCTGCCTCTTTGTGATGAACATCAGGAAACACAGGGGGGAAGGGAAGGGCACAAAACCAAAGCAGGAAGCACATCCAAAACTGTGTGAGTGTTAATAACACCAGAAGGCTAAAGAACATATATAACCCTAAAAATCTAATAACGTAGTTCTGCGTGCTTAAAAGTTAAGGCTTGTTTAATTACATTGGTGGGTGGGACTCAAAACTTCAGCACCACTCAGGAGTGACCTCTAACTTCATAGTCGAATTCTAGGGATTAAAATTCTTTCATGGATAACATCCCCAGCCTTTAAAAACAGTAGAAAGAGCACATAAAGGCTTGGTTTTAAATATATATCCCCCTGAAGTTAACTGGCCAGAGAAAAACTCTGAAACCTCCTTATAAACACGGATTATTTTTCATAGTTAATTCCCAAACTGGCTTAAGTAGATTTTCTTCAAGGGAGAGATTGTCAGGCAGAAGCAATCATGGAAAATGTCAGCTGAGAAAGGAGGAATTTGGAGAACGTTCCAAGTGATCGGGAATGGGAGATTGCTGAGGAAGAGGGCTCTCATCTTAATTCCTTCATGATCCATGAGAGGGTAATGGGTGGGAGAGCAGAAGCACTGTAAGAGTGGCATGAATGGGAAATCTCATCCCAGGACTGGCACCAACCCTGTAATGACCCCCAAATCCCAACCGGAGACACACGGGACACTCCTTCATCTGCTCCAGTCCTTCCCTACCCCACTTGCTCCGTGTGTTCCCTCTAGCCCAGCCCAAGATCCTTCAGAAAGCCCGTGGCAGCCTCTGGGAGCTGCAGGGAGGTGGTGTTTCCGTGTAATGCCCTGACAAACCCTTACTCTGGGTTTTAAGAGGTGAGTATTGATCCCTTCCCCCCGACTCGCCCGTTACCTCTCGTCAGCATCGTGGCCCTCCACGTAACATTCCGCCTCAAACTTCTCCTGCAGGAACCTGTCCCAGCACTCCTTCTTGGCCTGGGACAGCGTGCGCAGCATGTCCTTGGAGGTCACCTCCTGGGACAAGCCCTTGATCCTCATCAGTCTTCTCTCTGTGAAGAGAGGAGGGGTCTTTGTTTAATTTTTGTTGGTGTTTTGTTTTTCTGGTTTTTTTTTCTGAAAGGAAAGAAGAGAAGGATCTGGACTTCTCTATCAAAAAAAAGTAAGTTGGATTAACTTTTCAAGGCTAATTTCTATTTTAAAAGTCATTTCCACTCCTGTATTTCAAGCCTGCACGATTCTATTTCTTACACACACACAAGATGATATTTTTAGGTGATGTTTCTGAAGAAAATAAGGCTTATGCAATCAGTTAACTCTGCCCATTTTGGATTTTAATAACAGTTACTGCTCAGTTTCCATGAAATCACACAGGAGGGCACAGAACTCGCAGGCACCGAGTTCCTGTAATTTTCATGCAAACTGGAATATAAATCACACTCATTGCACTGCTTAGTGCACTGTATAACAGCAGTGAAGGCAAGATGGAAGCTTTAGCAGAAATAAAAGCTTAAAGATCCACTTCTGCCACCCCTTTCTCCTGCCTTGTTGCTGTGTGTGCAGCCTCTGACTTACTGAGGGGGGTAAAGCCCAATTTTTTTAGCTTTTGCTTGATAAAAAGTTGCTTTCTGTGGCAAAGCTGAAGAAGCTCTGAGTGAGCTTCACATTTGCTGCAAGTGCAGTAGGGGAAAGGAGTCAGATTCTCCATGAAACAGCTGGGGGACCTTCTGACCAGAGCACTGCCACGCAGACAGAGGTGTCCCCAGGCCCTCAGCGGTGGGGGACACTCACCCAGGGATGCCAGATACACCTCGGAGTCGTTCAGGGGTGCCCAGGGCTTCAGGCTGGGGCGGGAAGAGCCACCGGATCCGCTGCCCTGGGCGTAGGAGTCCATGAAGGAGTCCGTGAAGGCATCGCCGCTGTCCTTGAGCTCGGGATGGGGCAGACAGGAGCAGATCTCGGCCCAGAGGTCCTCGCTGGACCGGGGCACCACGGAGTCCGCGCTCTCCATCATCCTCATCCTGGAGTCCTGGGATGGGGGAATAAACGGTGAGCACCGAGCAGAAACCCCCGCCCAGGCCTCCCCCGTCAGCCTCCCTCGGCCCAAGTCACATCGGCGGGCGTTTCAGGGAATTCTCATCCCACTGGGAAGCCCGGCCGCCCTCCGGGAAGCGGTGACACGCTCCAGGGTGTCGCACCCAGGGAGACCCCTTGGGGGACAGGCGGGCGGTCCCCCCGCCGGCACCGCACCCCCTCCGCCCTTTCCCGCGGAACACCGTGTCCCCGCCGCTTTCCGGGCCGCGGAGGGGACACGGAGGGGCCGCGCCGCTCCCGCACTCACCGCACCGCGCACACGGGAAGCCGCGGCAGCTTCACCCCGCGCGTCACCAGCGCCCGGGGCTGACCAATCGCCGCGCGCCGCCGGCAGGGACAAGGCGCCCATTGGTCCGTAGCGCGGGGGATCGGCAGGGTGGGCGGGGCGCGCTGAAGCCGCCGCGGCGCCATGTTGGAGAAGGGCGGAAGTTGTGCCGGGCGGCGCAGGTGAGCCTGTGTCACATTCCCAGCGGTTTAGTGAGGGCAGGACGGCGGGAAAGGGGGAGTTTCGGGGTGGCTCTGAACCCCCTTCTCTCCGCAGGCCGCTACTGTGCCCGTGGGATGAGCCGCCTGCCGCGCCGCGCGGTGCTGGCACTCATGGGGCTGCTGTTCGCCCGGACCATGGCCTGGACATCCAGCGGGAAGACACACGCGGAGCTGGTCAACAACCTCTACAGTGAGTTCCAGCAGGATCCTCTGGAATGCCAGTGTACGGATATTTAATGCCAGTGTATGAATATTTAGTGTGACACTGTTCACTCTGAAGGGCTGGGGTTGATATTCCTGAATTTCGGCCTTTGTCCCAGCCTGAACTCGTTCTATTTATAACCAGAGACGAGGTGTTATGCCAGAAGGGGCAGGAAAGCCTCTGCACGCCTTCCTTCCCTGCCTCTGGAAGTGTGTGACGCCCTTTAAAGAGTTGCACCTCGGAGCCTGTGGGTGCTGCCGAGCGTCCCGGACACCCAGGCTGTGCCTTCAGCTCCGGGGGTCACAGCTCCTGGTGCCCAGCGCTCCCGCTCCGCTCCGGACAACGGGCTGGGATACACATAGAGAGAGCTCTGAGCTTCCCCTGCTGCTGGAGCTGGTTAGTCCCTGCCAGAATTCGCCCACAAAGGCTGGAAGGGGTGTGGAATGTCTCTGCAGCCATCTCTCTTGAGTTCACTGCGGAAACCTAAGCTGGAGTCTCTACTTTTTGGAGTGCAACGTGACTCCATTTCTCTCCCATTACACTTGGCAGTGCCAGAAATGTGGATGCAGGTCACCACCGCCCTCTGGGGATGGGCTGCTGGCTGGGACCGTAGTGGAAATGGGAAAGGATGTCCTTCCATTGGCATTTGTTTTCTATCCCTCTCACATTGAGGCTGAATTCCCCCCGATCCACGAACTCCCTGAACTGTGCTTCCCCCTCCGGATCTCTTCTTGCTGGTGTGCTGAGGGTTTCAGTCCTGCCTGTCTCTCTTCCTTCCTTCCCAGAAAAAGGGATCGTTAAGTCCCAGCGAGTCTTCGATGTGCTGTTGGCTACGGACAGAGGTCACTACATCAAGTATTACCCATACATGGATTCTCCTCAATCCATTGGTGAGTCATTTTGGGAAAAGCCCTAGCTGTGGAATCCCCATCCCTGGAAGTGTGCAAGGCCAGGTTGGATGGAGCTTGGGCATCCTGGGCTAGTGGAAGGTGTGTCTGCCCATGGCAGGGGGTGGAATGAGATGAGCTTTAAGATCTCTTCCAACCCAAACCATCCTGGGATTCTGTGAAATTCTATTTTTAGGGGAAGGTGTGGGAGAACTAAGGACTGTGTTCCCATGGGCAATTTTATTCTTTATCAAACAACTTTGTCACCTGTTTCCTTTTAGGCTACAAGGCCACGATCAGCGCCCCACACATGGTAAGATGAAAACTCTTTACTTCAAACAGAAATGGAGGGAATTGTTTGTTTCCCTTTTTGTATTTCATTTTTTTTCAAGTACAGAAGGGGAACACATGATTATCCTGCTTGTTTCTTTAGGGATTTTTTGTTTTTAAGAGGAGTTTCCCTTATAATCTTTCAGTTGCTTTAAAGGTGGGCTTAGATGGGAATTCTGTGTTGTCCATTTTTTCCCTGCTGTTTCACATGTAATTCCTGAGCCTCTTCCTAAGTGTGGTTCTGCCAAAAGACCTTCCAGGTCTGACCCTTGAGTTTCGCTCTGGAAGTGTCAGGCACAGGGCCAGGTGTGCTGGGATTAAATCAGAGAACAAGGAAAAGTGGTAGGAGAGGAGACTAACCCGGGCTGTTTCCCACCTCCATGTCCACACAGCATGCCCACGCCCTGGAGCTGCTCAAGGATCGGCTGGTGGAAGGTGCCAAGGCGCTGGATGTGGGATCTGGAAGTGGATACCTCACTGCATGCTTTGCCAGGATGGTGAGCTCATGGCACAGTGGGAATGTGCTTTTGGTGGGGAGAGCAGGAGGTGGGAGGAAGGGGAAGCTCTTCCCAGACCAGCTTGTACTGAAAACAAATACTTCTTTGGGATCTAAATGGCAGCTGTATCTGCCATGAGGTATTTTGTGTGTTTATCCATCGTGCAAGTCCATTGTGGGTTCCTTTTAGTTTATGCCTTCATTGCTCACAGTCTGTTTCCTTGTTTTCTAAACTCCTGGAATTGTTTCCTGTGAAGTGCTAGAAAGCTGGTCAAGTTACTCAGGAGGATAATTAGTCAAGAACTTGCCATGGAAGCTGCTAATTCTACCAAATAATGATTTCTTTGGCAATGAAGGATTACTATGAATCCTTGGAGACTTGGCAGTTAAAGACTACTGGGAATCTCCATGGACAGTGTCTGTGTATCCCTTAAGCAGCTGATAGATTCCTCAGCCTTAAAATCAGGAGTATTTGCACCTCTTGTTCAGAAACTCTGCTCTGGAGCTTATGCCAGCTCTCCAATTCCCACTGAAACCTGCTCCATCAAACACCTCTCTTTGATATGGGAGGTGCCAGGTGTTGGACTGATGTTGATCTTTCCAGACTGGCCCGACAGGGAAAGCTGTGGGAGTGGAGCACATCAAGGAGCTGGTGCACGAGTCCATCCGGAATGTCCAGGAAGATGATCCGACGCTGCTCAGCTCCGGCCGCGTGAAGCTTGTGGGTGAGTTCTGTGCCATCCAGGGGTTGTCCTCTCCGGGAACGCCTCGGCTCTGCTCCCTGAAGTTGCTCCAGTCTGTGTGGATGCTCTGAGTTGCTATGAGAACAAACCTTTCCCTCATGTTTTCCCTCCTACAGTTGGAGACGGCAGGCAGGGATACCCCGAGGAGGCTCCGTACGACGCGATCCACGTTGGAGCGGCCGCAGCGACTGTCCCCAAGGAGGTGAGAGTGGCCCTGCTGGGTGTCCCTACCTCTTTTTTTTTTGGTGAGAAAACTAATTAGGGAACCACTAGAAGCTTCTTATTTGTCGTGACCTTTCCAGCATGGCTTATTCCCAGTGTCTCTTTTTTTTTTTTTTTTTGAGCTCTGCTCATTGCCAAAAACATCGGGATAAATCAAACTCTGTGACACTATTTTCAGTATTAGGAAGGAGGCATTGCTTTATTCAAAGCACCAGGTGCATGGGGATACTCCACCCAAATGCACACCGACTTTCAAAACTTTTCACTACTTACACATTTTAGCAGACAAAGAAATTACTGTTCATGGGCTGTAAATTAAGTAATTCTCTTCATTAATTACTATTCTATCTTCTATTGATTTCTCGCTTCTCACGCTAATTAGTCCACATTTTCAGTCTTTTTATTATCTTTTAGGGTAGAGAGGGTTTCAGTACAATTGCTGAATTGTCTTTGTTAGTTTCTTCTTTATCTCAGGGTTCTGCAAAATGTCCTTGTGGTCTATAAATTCAGCATTCCCTGTGTCCAGTTTCAGCAATATATCCAATATTACTCTCCCCCAGGCTTTGTTCATTGAAGCACGTAAAGGTTGGTTACAGTTGTTCTAGAGCAACTTAAAGTTCCAGTAATGTTCCCAAACCATGTTCTCCCACAACAGCAGCCTTATGAGAAGCCTCGCTAAGTGGTGGCTGCAGTGCCAATTATGACTCATTAAAACGATTAGAAAAGTTCTCAGGAAGGTTGTGTTCATTTCCAACGCGCTGACTCGGATCCCTGTGTTTCCCAGCTGCTGAATGAGCTGAAGCCGGGTGGGAGGCTGATCCTGCCCGTTGGGCCCGAGGAAGCGAACCAGGTCCTGATGCAATACGACAAAACCAGCGACGGGCGCATCGTGGAGACCCAGCTCATGGGCGTCATCTACGTCCCTCTGACTGACAAGGAAAAGCAGTGGCCTCGGTAAAGAGCTGCTCTTCCCCGAGGAACATTCCTTCTTCATCTGTCCCTCTGCTTGCTCTCCTCGGCTTTGCTGACCGAGTCCTGGATCCCTGGCAGATGTAAAAAAAAAAAAAGAGGAGGAAACAGCTTGGCAGAGCAGGAGAGCAAGGGGGTGTTTCCCCTTGGGTAGGGCTTGCCAACTTTTATTTCCTCTTTTCGTGGAGCCTGTGTGTGTTTGTAAACCCCGTGTGATGCCGTCGTGGAGCTGAGGGCCACGGGTAGTAACTGTTGGTTTTTCTTTGCCTCAGGGGTGAACTCTGACACATGGATGGATATCCCTAAAGGCACCTCAGAAAGCTCATGAGTGGGACTTAGGCCTGTAGATGGTCGGTATGGTTTTGCTTTTTAACGGAAATTTTATCCATGGATAAAGGGAAGGGAAGTTCTGCTTCAGCAGAGCTCATTCCGGAGGGATGGAGAACAGGGAAAGGACCAGAGAAGGCTCTTGGAGGCCATGGCAGCTTCCAGGAGGTGGATCCGGATAACTCCAGCTATCCTCTCCGATAAACTATAGATAACATCAGAGAATTCCAAAAGCAGGCAGGAATACTTAAACCTTCACTAAAACAGTTTTAATATCGACTACTCTGCTTAATGCTTGGTGAAAAGAAGTCACAATTAGTGTCTCAGAGCAATGAGACTGATTTGTGTGTTTTTAATTATGGGAGTGTGTTCTCTTCTAGTCTTGCATCCACTAATTTAATCTTGGGCAGCGACACTGAATTTTGGGGTTAAGAAAAAATTTTCATTTCTTGGCTTTTTTCTGTTTGGAGTTATGAAAAATGCTAATTTCTTGGCTTTTTTTTTTTTCTGTTTGGGGTTATGAAAAATGCTCATTTCTTGTGGGTTTCTCTTCAGAGCTAAGAAAAATGCTGATTTCTTGGCTTCTTTTTTCTCTTTGGGGCTATGAAAAATGCTAATTTCTTAGCCTTTTTTTTTTTCTGTTTGGGGTTATGAAAAAATCCCATTTCCCGGCCTTTTTTTTTTTTTTTTCTGTTGGGGTTATGAAAAATTCCGGGGTTAAGAAAAACGCTCATTTCTTGGCTTTTCCCTGCCGTGCCCCTCCCGCGGACGGTGACTGGGGAGGCTCGCGAGGGGCCGGCGGACTGCGGTGAGGCTCGGGGCTCACTAGTGGGACAGTTCCGAGGAGGGGAGTGTTATGAGGTAAATGAAGGCGGTAAATAAAGGTAAATAACGGTGCTGCCGCCCCCGACGCGTCCCGCGCCCTCCTGAGGCGTTCGGGAGAGGGGGGGGCGGGAAAAGGGCGGGAAAGGGACAGGCGGTGTTGGGGGCGTGGCCTCGCGACGATGCGCTGCGCCGATTGGCCGCGCCGCCCGGCGCGTAGTGATGCGTCACGGGCTGCGCCGCGCGGTGTGTGCCACGTGGGTGCGCAGGGCCCGGCCGCCGCCGCGCCCGCCCCGCGGGGCCATGGCCGAGCCGGGATCGGACGAGGAGCCGGGCAAGGAGGGAGCGGCGCCGGCCCCCAAGAAGCGGCGGCTGGCGGGCGGCGAGCGGTACGTGCCGCCGCCGCGGAAGCTGAGCACCGGCGTGAGCTTCGGCGCCGAGCACTTCGCCGAGACCTCGTACTACTTCGAGGGCGGGCTGCGCAAAGTGCGCCCCTACTACTTCGACTTCCGCACCTACTGCAAGGGCCGCTGGGTCGGGCGCAGCCTCCTGCACGTCTTCGGGACCGAATTCCGCGCGCAGCCCCTCGACTTCTACCGCGCCGCCGCCCGGGCCGGCCGCCTGCGCCTCAACGAGGAGCCCGTCCGCGACCTGGACATCGTGCTCAAGGTGTGCGACCCCCGGGCCGCGCGGTCAGATAACCCTGGGGAGGGGTTGGAGGGGACAGTCGGCGCACCCGGGGAATCCCTGCCCCTGTGGGCTGGGGGGTGTGTGGACCCTTCAGCTCCAGATGTGCCCCACAGCTTCGCGCTCGGCCCCTGGGAATGGGAATATATGCCACGGGATTCATGCGGGGACACGCACTGTTATTATCCTAAATCTGGGGGGCCAGAAGAAAAGGGCTTTAGTTTCACACACACACAGTGTCAAGCTCCCTGTGCGTGACCACACTGAGCGGGGGTGTCCACAGGCTGGATCCCGGCTGACTGCCCGTATTCCCTGCAGAACAACGACTTCCTCAGGAACACGGTGCACCGGCACGAGCCGCCGGTCACTGCCCAGCCCCTCCGGATCCTGGCGGAGGACGAGGAGGTGGTGGTGGTGGACAAGCCCTCCTCGATGCCCGTGCACCCCTGCGGCAGGTTCCGGCACAACACCGTCATCTTCATCCTGGGCAAGGAGCACGGGCTGACGGAGCTGCACACCCTGCACCGCCTGGACCGCATGACCTCGGGCGTCCTCATGTTCGCCAAGACCGCGGCCGTGTCCAAGAGGATCGACGAGCAGGTCCGGGAGAGGCAGGTCAGAGAGCAGCGGGGCCGGGAGTCGTTTGTACCGTGTTCTCCTGCAGCAGGTTTGGCCCAAAGTCAGACAGATTTGGGTTCTAAACGAGCACGAGTTCCCTGAACAGGTTGTGGTCGGGTTGCTGTTCTTACCTCTTGGTGCTTCTCGTCCTTAACAGGATAAAAACAGTGAAAATTTAATTGAGTTTGATAATATTGGATTGGAAGGGATCTCCTCGAAATTTAACTGGTTTTGGTAATGTTGGCATGGAAGGGATGTCCTCAAAATTTAGTTGATTCTGGTAATATTGGGTTGAAAATGTTACGTTGAAAACCCTAAACACGCAACTGATTTTGGTAATGCTGGGTTGGAAGGGATCTCTTGAAAATATAACTCATTTTGGTAACGTTTCGTTGAGAGGAATCTCATAAAATTTAATTGATTTTTTTTTTAAAGGCTGGATTGAGAAGGATCTCCTAAAATTTAATTGATTTTGGTAATATTGGATTGGAAAGGATCTCCTAAAAATTGAACTGATTTTGGTAATATTAGATTGAAAGCGACGTCCTGAGTCAGCCGAACTTGAGGTCTAAATGAGCCCAAGTTCCCCAAACAGCTCGTGGTTGTGTTGCTGTTTTTATCATATTAAGGATGAGAAACATCAAGAGATAGAGGCAGAGAAAAAATTCAGATTGGTTTGGCAATAGTGGATTGAAAGGGATCTCCTAAAAGTTTAAATGAATTTGGTAATTTTAGATTGAAAATACTAGGTTGAAAACCCTAAAAATTGAATTTATTTTGGTAGTATTAGACTAGAAGGGATCTCCTAAAAAATTTAATTGAATTCAGTAATGTTAAATTGAAAAGGATCTCCTAAAACTTTAGTTGAATTTGGTAATAGTGCATTGGAAGGGGTCTCCTGAAAATTCACCTGATTCTGGTAATATTGGATTGGAAGGGATCTCCTTGAAGTTTAATTGATTTTGATAATATTAGATTGAAACATTTGGTAATATTAATTGAAAATATTAGATTGAACCCCCTAACCATTTAACTGATTTGGGGAATATCGGACTGGGAGGGATCTCCTCCCCTAAGGGACTGTCCCAAGGGACTGTGCAAACTGACTGGGATTGTGCAAACCAGTTAGAGAGCAGGTTTATTTCTGAGTGGACACACATCAATCATCCAGTCTTTCGGTTTTCAAATTCCCATTTTTCCAGAGTCTCTTGACCCAAACAAAACTCTTTCAAGGATTGGCTTCAGGGCTGTAAACTAAAGGCTGCAGAGAGATGGCTTCTGGATTTAATATGAGGAAAACAGGCCGGACCCTTCTGTCCTTGATTTCCCTACTAACTGAGGAAAGTGTGAGGGGAATTTGGCTTTAAATAGCTCATTTAATTTTTTTTCCCTCTCCTCTTGTAATAAAATGCTGCCTGTGGATGTATTTCATGGAAGGGAAAGGGGAGGAGGAGTGAGGATGGGGCTTGGGTGTATTTTCCGCTGTGTTTCCTGAGCCTTCCTCTTTGTGTCTCCCAGTAGCTGGAGAAGGAGTACGTCTGCCGGGTGGTGGGAGAGTTCCCAGAGCATGAGGTGGTCTGTGAAGAGCCCATCCTGGTCGTTTCCTACAAAGTGGGAGTGTGCCGCGTGGATCCCAAAGGGAAACCCTGCAAAACCATCTTCCAGAGGCTCAGCTACAACGGGAAGACCAGCGTGGTCAAGTGTCTGCCCCGCACGGGCCGCACGCATCAGATCCGGGTCCACCTCCAGTATCTGGGGCACCCCATTGTCAACGATCCCATCTATAACATGGAAGCCTGGGGTCCTGACAGGGGGAAGGGCGGGAAGATCGGGAAAACGGATGAGGAACTCCTGAAGGCGCTGGTGGAGGAGCATCGTTCCAAGCAGAGCCTGGAGATCTTGGGTATTTCGGAGGAGGACTTGAACTCCGGTGGTGAAAATAAAGACTGTGGGGATTCAGGTGACTGCACAAAGTCTGCAGAGGCTGATCCTATAAATGGGAATTCCTGCCCTGCTGAGGATGCGAAGGATCCTGAGAGGGATGCGAAGGATCCTGAGAGGGATGCGAAGGATCCTGAGAGGGATGCAAAGGATCCTCAGAGGGACGAGAAGGATCCTGAGAGGAATGTGAAGGATCCTGAGAGGAATGACATAGCAGCTTGTCCACCAAACTCTGATATCAGCCTGGAAACGCTTGAGAAAGACAAAGAACTCGGTTCATGTGGGAATCAGGATGGGCAAACGGGACAGAAAGGTTGGGAAGAGAAGGACCCTTTATGTGTGGAGTGTAAGATGAGCAGGCGGGACCCTTCTCCCAAGGAGCTGGTGATGTTCCTCCACGCCCTGCGCTACAAGGGAGCAGGGTTTGAGTATTGCTCCGACATGCCCGAGTGGGCAATGGATGACTGGGAGGAATGACCAAGGATATCTTGACACCTATGGACACTGCTGGCTGGGAAAATGGCTTGGGAAGACCAAAGATTGACTTTTTTCAATGTGATTGAGGTGAACAAACTGCCTGGAGCTGGAGTGGGAAGGATCACTCTGTCCTGACTCCTGACACTGTGGAAAACGAGCAGGGAAATAGGGCCTGAGGTTTATGTTGCCCCCCAGTGATCTGGCACTTGAGGGCAACAAAGACCAAACTCTGCTGGTCACAGGCAGCTTTGCCTTCACCTCACTGGATTCTGGATTGATTATCCACACGGATAATGAAGTGCATGCACTAAAAGTCAATAACTGGTTTGCCTCCCGGGTTCCTGCGTCTTAAAGTACGAGCTGCTGGATGTCATATCATAAAACCCCCTATTTTTACAGTGTTTTATTGTCAGATTGATTTTAAAACTCAAATATTGTCACTGAGAATGCTGTGAGGTAAAACCAGAGCACTGTGATCCCAACTTGTTTTGTGCCTGCTGTTTGTCAGCAAGGTCGACTTGCCTTTAAAATTCCTCTACCAGTATTCATTCAAATAATTATTTAATTTAAGGTTAGTAGTTCTGGGTGCTGATGTCTTGATATTGGGCCTGGCTTTGGAGGTATTGGTCCCTAGATTTTGTCTTTAAGAGATTTGTTTAATATCAATTCAGTGTGACAGTCGCCTTTCAAGATAAACAAAAGCTGCTCTATGAACCAGAATACTTATTAAAAAATAATTTTATATTAATATATTCCCAGAATGATAAATACCACTATAGCTCTTATTTTCACCAGTGTTTACAATCCTTGGCCTCTGGGAGGATTGTTATAATAATTTTGGGGACCTCAGGTAGCTATCCCACAGGAATTACAACTTTCCTTCTAAAGTGACTTGATGATGTCGCCAGGATCAGGATGTGGATACTAAACCAGAATAATCCAGTGCATACTTGCAGTAGCTCAAAGGAGCCAAGTGATTTCTTTCTCTGCTGGATCATCCAGCTGATGTGTTGAATATTTCCATAAAAGTTCACTCAGGTTTGAGCTTTGTTCTTCCACATTCTACCTTAATCACAGATATTTGGAGAGATGATGCTAAAAATCAGTGTTCTTTAAATTTTTCATGCGTTGAAGTACGTATTTCATGGAACTAAATGAAACTTGGGCACCTTCAGTGTATAAAAAAGGGTGGCTTGCAGCTGTTACTGGATTTGGATGCAGGGGTAAGGGGAAAGATGTAGGGACAACAGTTATATTATACTTTGAGGTGTCCCAAGTTACAGTAGGAGGTGTTTGGTAAGAAATTTTTACAAGAAATAAGTCCCTGAAAGGAATTTTCCTGGCTTGGGCTGGTAGATGGAGGCTGGGGCCAAAGGGCCTGATGAGGAACTGGAGCTCAGTTCTGCCTTTTCCCTTTTTCCTGGAATAATTACTGCCTTTCACATCTTTTAATTCCTGGTCAAGAAACCCCTGGGCTTCTGTTTCCAGGATACTTTAAACAGGGCAGATCTAGGCTTGATTTCACAACGATCCTACCACCAACCACTTTGTATTTAATTTTATTTAAAGTTAAAACAGCGTTTGCTGTTTTGTTAGCAGGGAGGATGTCACTCTTGGAGATGTCCTGTCATAAATTCCCATATCAGCTGGGTTCTGAGGTAAATACTGGGTCCTGCCTGTGGGCAGAAACTTTTCTGTACAAAACGTAGGTCCTTAGAAGAATTCATTTCCCTCGTACAGCTTTATTTGGATACACCTTGGCAGTGCTGGGTGAAGAGTTGGACTTGATCTTAAAGGTCTTTTCCATCCTAAATGATTTTATAATTCTGTCTTTACACTTCATCCTAGCTGTGGCCCCTAAATTCCTCAGGACACTCCATCCTGGCTCTGACCCCTGAATCCCTCAGGACACTCCTGGCTGTGGTCCTAAATCCCTCAGGATGCTCCGCTTCCCCTTCTCCCCGAGGGGAGAGGTGGGAATTCAGGGAATGCCGCGGATTTGAGGGGATGTGCTTCCCGCAGAAATGATGGGGGGAAAAAAAAGTAATTTAGGGAAAAGCAATGTTTCCCGACGAGGATGGGATTCGAACCCACGCGTGCAGAGCACAATGGATTAGCAGTCCATCGCCTTAACCACTCGGCCACCTCGTCACGGCAGGCTCTTCCTTGCCCGGCCTATAAGGAAGCGCGCCCACCGCCTCCGCCATCTTATCTCGCACGCCGCCTCCCCCACCCCCCCACGCGGTACCACCGGCCGCGCAAATCTGCGTGGCCACAGCGCGGAGCGAGACCACCTCACGGGGACCGGACACCCCCCGCAGCCCGTGCGGTTACCGCGCCATCCTCGTCACCGCGGCTGCGGGCGCGCGGGCCGCGGGTGGCGGCGAAATGGCAGCAGTGGGGCGATAAGCGGGGGCCGCCATGTTGTACGGCAAAAGGGGGCCGCCATGTTGCGCGGCGGCGCAGGCGTGACGTCACGACGCGGGGAGGGCGGTTGGATTTGAACGGGGCGGTGGGGACCGGGAGCGGGAAGCGGGGTCGGGAGCCGGGAACGGAGGAGCCCTGCTGTGCCCCCAGCGCGAGGTGAGAGCGGCTGCGGGGCCCGGCGAGGGGAGGAGGCCGTGCTGGGACAGCGCGGGAGTGACTGCGGCCGTTGCCCTTGTCTGGGGCGGATCCTACGAGCGCGGGAGAAGGCGGGAGGAGAAGGTCGGTGCTGCCCCGGGAGCCACTGGATGGAGGGAGGGCTGAGGCGTGTGGGGATAAACCCCCCCGATAAACGCGGTGTGGATCGATGCGAAGTAATTCGTGGCTGGGGAACGTGTTGATGAGGTGTAATTAATGATATGAGTGATTAATAAGCGCCTGGGCTGTGGCGCGGGGACCGTGAGGGGAACGGCCCGGGAGCAAAAAGAGACGGGAAAAGGGGCTCAATCGGCTTGTCCCAATGGGGAAAAGGCCGAGAAGGGCCGGGATGGGCGGCGGGGGATGGACTGGAAGGACTGTGGAGAGATTCTTGTGTTTGCAGTGTCAAGTAGGAGAATAAAGAGGGATGGTCGTTTATCAACAAAGCATCGTCCCAGCTCGACGCCATGCTCTCGTCTCTCAAGGAGTGTAGATAACTTCCACGAAGGATTAGGGAAGAGGGGCTGAGGAGGGTGGCTGGGCTGTGAATTCCCCATTAATAGCCCCAAAGGCAGAGCGATCAGGGGTTTTACAGCCACACGCTGCTCTCCCTCAGCACCTGCATGGCCTGTCGTGTCCCCTGTCCCTTCTCTGTGCGCTCAGCCTGACCCAGGATGGCTGGATTTACACCCAAAACCTTTGGGACGCTGGCCCAAAAGGGTCCTCTGGATTTGGAGCCCCAGAGCTGCCGGCTCTGGAAGCCAAGGGTCCCTCAGGCTGCTTTCGGCTGGGACCAGCATAGACCTGCTGATCTTGGTGAAAAGAATTAATGGCTTTAAACCGAAAGAAGGGAGATTTAGGTTGGATATTGGGAAGAAATCCTTCTCTGGGAGGGCGGGGAGGTCCTGGCACAGGTTGCCCAGAGCAGCTGTGGCTGCCCCATCCCTGGAAGTGTCCAAGGCCAGGTTGGGCGGGGCTTGGAGCAACCTGGGCTAGTGGAATGTGTCCCCGCCCGTGGCAGGGGGTTGGAATGCGATGGCCTTTTAGGTCCCTTCCCACCCAAACCATTCCAGGATTCCATGAATTACCTTGCAAAATGAAACAAGAAATCAATAAGGTTCATTCTAGCAAGTCAGCTTCTGTGTACTAACGCAGTGTCACTCTGTAAAGCTTTTCTGGTTCTCATTTTTTTTATACCTTCACATGTAACAGTGTCCTCAAAATAGTGCTTTTTTTTTTCTGTTTAGGCAAACAGAAATTTATTGAGGAGAAATACCTACTGGCTTAGTGTTGCCTAAAAATTGTCCTGCCTTAAAATTGTGTTTGAGCAAAACAGAATGTTACTTTTCCCTTCCACTGTAACTCAAGCCAAATACATCATATATGACACCATATCATGCAATAGAATTAATATAATACCATATAATTCGAAGAAATACCCAATAATAAATTCCCAATAGCATTTCATGTGATTTAGCATTCTGAACTTTCTTTTTCCTACCCAAGGCTTAGTTTTAGCTTGGAAAATTGGGGTGGGTTTGTGGTTTCCATCAGCTACACTGAGGTAACTGCACTGGTGGACAGGGAGAGCAGTGGATGTTGCTCATCAGAGGGAAATTATCCATGTTCCTGAATTCCTGATAGTTTAAAGAAGATGGAGCCAGGCTCTTCTGGTTGTATCTAGAGAAGGAACAGGAAGCAACAAGCTGAAATACCATAAATTCACCTTAGAGGGTGAGGAAAGTAGTGATTGAAAAATGTCTTGTGTGTCAGAGCAAACTTTGTCTTGGATAAGGTTTGATCACGTTTATCTCCAGCAGTTACCAGAATCTTAACTTTAAATAAGAGGCTGCCTAACCAGTAATGCTTAAACTGCTAGCACAGTTTACTGTTAGCACAATATATGTATAATATGGATGTAACAGGAAAACGTGGAATTGAGAGGCCTGTACTTTCTGTAACCAGAGAAAAATGGAGAGAAAAAAATACAGCATCAAAAGCTAATAACTAACTGTGGGTTTATGCTGTTTTCCTGCTGAGGTTCGTTAATGTTTTTGGATTTTGGTTTTGTATTCTGTAGGGAAAGCACATCCTTCAGTGATGGACAAGATTTGCACAGACCCAAATATGGAAAAGTGAGTTGAAACCTTCTAAGGAATTTTATTGTGGTGTAAATATTGTCCTTTAGAGGCAAAACTTTTCTTAATGCACTCCAGCATCCCCTGAATGAAATGTGGTTTGCATTTCCAAGAAGAACAGGGAGTTTCTCTGACGGTGTTTGGGAAGCTCTGAGGGGATTTTGTGGGGATGGATGGTCTGGAGATGAACTGACCGTGGGGGTGAGAGGGCAATCTGAGTTTTCCAAAGCTTATTTCATTGGGAAGCAGTGCTGAAATGATGAATCTGTTCCAAGCAAGTTGTTTATTTGATTTCACACTCATAAAAATAACAGAGAAATCAGTTCACTAACCTGGAAACCGTGACAGGGCTGTTCAGGAAACGCACCTCGGAGAGATTTCATATCCTAATACCCGTTTCCCTTTCTCCCCTCCAGTGATAACACGGAGCACATCAGAGGGAAGCGACTGTCCTCCGTGAGTAAATTACAGCATTCCTCAAAATAAAACTCTGGGAGGGAGGGAAGGAGGAAAGGGAAGCTGGGAGAGGAATTTTTTTCCTCACTGTAGTTGAAGAAAAGCATTCCAAAAGAACCTGTTAGATTGAGAGGCACTGCTAGCTCCTAGAAACTCTCTCCATTCCAGAAATGAGCTCTTGGAGTTGGAGCTGATCTTCTCAACTGTTCTGTTTTCTTTCAGATTTTAAAGGCTCCACGAAATCCCCTGGATGATCTGGGAAGTGGGAATGAACTGACCCAGGTAGGTCCTTTCTTCCCGATGGTTCTCGACATGTTGCTGATTAAACTGTGTCCCTGGAATAATGCAGGTGGTTTTAATGCACCAATTTTAATAATAGCACACTATTTGTTTGGGTCTGTGTTTCATGGAAAGCTGTGCTCATGGATATCAAAGTGTTGTGTTCTTTATTGGCAGGATATTAATATAGAGAAACGAAGGAAGAGCTCACGCCGTGTCAGCTTTGCCAACACCATCAAGTAAGTGTGAGCTGGAGGATGCAGGTCTGCAGCCTTTATTTAAGCATAAAATGCAGGGAATAATCTGTTTTCCCCTAATATTGCCCTCACTGAATAATCACAAATGATTGCAAGCATGAAGAAGTTGGGTTTTATATTATATATACTTACGTTTTTTTATATTTTTATGTTGAGTTGGTTCGAACCCTGAAGAACTGTTTTTTATTTTCTCTTCCCAGCTGGGAAAAAAACCCACAAAAGCAACAGTTCAGTGAATTTAATATAATTAGGAATTTTTCCTTTCACGTTCAGTTTTTAGTGGTTTCCATCTTAAGTATCAAAATGGCATCCTATAATATCAGCTCCTGTAAAACATGCTTGGGTTCAGTACACTTCTGGCTTTTGATATCTCATTTCAGAACACATGGAAAAAATTGAATTTAGGGCTGATTTTTTTTTTTTAAATTTGCTTTGAAAGAGATGGTTTTGTCTTTTAAGAAACTGGTGTTTTTTTTTCTTAGCTGCAGAGTCTTCCACAGAGATCTTAAGAACAGCACATCAGAGAGAAAAAATACAGGTAAAACTCCTTTTTCTTCTTCTGACAGGATCCCCAGATTATTCACAACAAGATTTTAGCTTGGATTTAAGAAGTCAGGCTTGTCAGTTGGGGAAAGGAACAACATGGTCAGATCTTTGTCCTGTGTTGGCTGAAAACCCCTTGGTCACAGTGTTTTTGTCATGAGAAGACACATGAAGAGAACTTCAGAACAGTTTCTGTGCAGTTCACTCTTGTCTCGGTGTTTTTTAGAATCAGAATCATGTAGGTTAGAAAAGACCCTTGAGATAATCAAATCCAACCATGATCATGCTTCTCACATTGTAATTTTGTGATGTGTTTGTTATTTTTAGAGCATGAAGCAGATAAGGATGGTGTCTCTACTAATCAGTAAGTATCATGTCTGGTGGATATTTATTGTAATTTGATATTTATTACTGAACTTTTTCCCTCAGAGGTAGAGAAAATGTTAGTCTGGCCTCAAAGTTCTTGTATATAAAACACAGTGATGGGATTTTTAAAATTAAAATGACCTGGTGGTAAAATAACAGATTTAGTCACTTTGTATGTGTGAAGGGGAATGTCATAGAATCATAAATTCTATGAAAAATAAAGAATTATCTTTCTTACTTGTCACTGAGGAATTAAAATGCCCCTTTATGTTGAGCAGTGGCTTGTGGAATGCTAAGATGAGATAATTTCATGGGGAAATTAAGATTGTGACTCAAATTAGAATATATTGAAGACAAATATGTAGTGTCTGGTATCTGCTGCCCAGTCCCATGTGGCATCTGCCACGGAGTTGTGTGCAACACAGTTGTCTGTCTGTTCAGTTTATTGCTCAAGGCTCCTCTTTGAAACCTTTTAACCAACTGAAATCTTCTAAACCTCCTAACAAGCTCTTTATCTAACCCGACTTTTGTAGGGATGAGGAAACTGAAACTGTTTCGTGTGAGATCACTGGTGAGTTGGGAAATAAAATTAATAACAAAATGACTATCTTTATTTAAAACTATTGATTGTGTTTGAGTAATTTTAACATTCCTAAAGTAATCTCCCTGATTTGGGAGGGCTCTCCCTGCGTGGGCTTTGTCCCACAAAGCTGTTTACAAGGATCCTGTTGTAGAAGTCTGTGTGGCCCTTCCACATCCTGATGGAAGCAATGAAAATGTTTTTCAGGATATATTTGGGTTTAATTTTATTTATTTACTCAGTGCATTGAACTTCAGCACTGTGGATAAAAGAATAAGCAAATAGCACAAGAACTGGAGTGTTCCCTTTTCTTTCCACAGGGATGAACACTTTGCTTCACGCCCCCATCCAGGCTTTGGTGCAGCAAACTGAGGTATGTGAAAGCTTTTGGTTTTTTGGTGCTGAAAATACCAGTGTCCAAAATATATCACAGGAATTTGTGTGGTAAATGGTGAAAAATGTTGGCTGCCTAAAAAATAAACCTTTGGGTATTCGCAGAAAATTCTTTTGCAAGTGAATATTCTATGTTTTGAAGTATTTTCCTACTCTGATAGCCATTAGACTGCAACTTGAATAACTCTTGCTTCTCTGACTTCTCAGTACTGACCTAGTTCCTCTATTCTCTTCAATTCTTATCTAAGAATATACAAAGGAGCTCATGTTTCAGATGGGTCTGTGTATTTATAAAACAGCAAATGTAATTTGAAGTAAATGTGAAGCTGTTCTTCATATGCTCATTATACCTGATAAAGTGTAGTGTTCTATCTCATTACTGGCCAGTTTTTGCCCCCAGCTTTAAAACTGTAAATGCTCTCTGTTAAAGAGAATGAAATCTCCCTAATCTGTGGTGGAAAGGTGTTTTAAAACATCCAGCCTGGTGTTGCTGCTTTGGGGCAGGTGCATAATAAACTGGGCGAGGAGAAACCTGTAGTTCCCTAAAATAAAAGGCAGAAATCACATCGTAGAAAAATAGAAAATACTGATCCATAAGGCTCAGTAATTGTTGCTTGCTTACTAAGATGTGGCTGGATATGAAATGTAAAATGAGACACATTCTCTCATAAACAGCCATTTAAATATGGTGAATAATTAAGTCATTGTCCTTTCTTTGAATATGTTATTGCTTATCAGGGAGGCCTGTAATCAGTAGGGGTTTTTTTCTTGAAAAAGAAAGATATAGAGCTAGAAGCTGAAGGCTGCATTAGCTGACTTTCATTTTAAGTAGAATAAACCACTGATCATTTGTTTTACATGCCAGTCACTGAGTTCTTCCTTTTTTTTTTTTCTTTTTTTTTTAATTTTTTTAGTGGCATGATGTGGACCAGGCTGTTCTGAGGGCGAGCAGGCAGGACACCACCCTGCTGTTCCTGGAGGAGAACACGATGGAGGTGACAGCCAGTCACACGGCTGTGATCTCCCGGAACCTCAGGGCCCAGCAGGCCGACGGAACCGAGAAAATAGACGTCACCTCCTTCCTGAACTCCAGCCATGGCAGGGCAGAAGCCAGCCAGGAATTCGGTTTGCTCCCCGACCCCGCCAACCACCCGTGCGTGTCCCTGGAAGAGAAGGAAGAGGCTCCTGCTGTAAGAAAAATAGATTTCAACAAATTTCTGCTGAGCCTGAAGTCAAATGAGAAGGCGCCGAATCCTGCTGAGGGGCCTGACAAGGAGAACGTTTTCTTTGCCCCTTGCCAAGGCTTGGAAAACGTGGCGCTGTCATCCGAGGAATTTGTCTATTCCCGCGAGCCGCTGCACACCTGCAATGTAACGCAGGTCTTTCGAGGGCAAGAAGGTGGGATGGCAATGACAAAATGTGAGGGACCTGGTGTTGGTGAGGCCCCACCGGAGCAACTGGAGTGTGGGGATGTCACCCAGGCCTTTGTGGACAATGGGATGGACATGACAAGCAGTCACACTGCAAAAGTGTCCTTTCCCTGCTCCGGTGCTGGGAATCAAAGTCTCCACTTCCAAAAGGGTTCCTCATCCACAGAGTTAGATAATTCTGTGTTGAAGAGAGCATCTAATCAGAACCTGATTCAGCAGGACCCTCAGCTCTGTGCAGACAGGAAAGCAGCAAATGCTGAAGACAGAGGAGCCCCTGCAGTGCTGAGAGGGGTGAGACAGGAGGCCAGGGCAGTGTCTGCCATCCGGGGAGCCGTGTCCTCTGAGACCGTCTTCCGAGGGGACAAAACTGTTGTGTTTTCTAAATGTGAGGACATGGAAATGACTGGGAATTACACAGACATCATCTACAACGACAGCACCATGGGAACAGACACTTTATGTCATAAAACTTGCGAAAAGCCAGGGAGTACAAACCCTGTGCTAGCAGGGAGCAGACACCCAGCACGTGGGAATGGGGACATCCCACAGGGTGTAGCAGCTGGAGATTATGGAGCTGCTGTGTCCTATAAAACCAGAGCACTTGAACTGCCTTCAGCCTCAGATGGACATATGGAAAACATGTCCCAGGCTCATGGTCCTGCTGCAGCGAATGCTGGGTTTGGCTCATGTACAGATTTGGGTGCTCCAAAGAGCAGGTTCCATCCCTCAGCACAGCCTCAGCTGGTTCCTTCAGGTGAGAAGACAGTAATATTCCCAGGACAAGACATGGACTTGACTAAAGCCTGTGTTAAGGAAGACAGAAAGAGTGTTGATAATGAACTTCCCACTGCAGTGTTCACCTCTGTCCCCTGCAAACCTCATTTTCTGGATAACAGATCCACAGTTTCCAATGGAGCTGAGCAGGAAGAAATGGAAACAATGAAATGCCACGCTGTTGTCACTAGTGATCAAAGCAGTGGGACAACTGCAGAAACCAAACAAATGCTCTGTAAAATCATTACAAGAAAGAACCAGAACAAAAATGTCATTGAGGGTGCATATTCCACAGATATGGACAAGGAAAATATTGAGGTGATGAGTATCAATGGGAATATTAAAAGGAGCCAGGCTATTGAAATGAATACTAAAAATCTTCAGATGATTGGAAAAAACAACTTCCAGGCAAGTGATCTGAGTTCCTGTGCCAAAAGCACATTTTTGTTCCAACAGCAAAACAGAGGAGGCCCTGGGAATGTCGCCACTGACACTGGAGCATCCCTGTCTTTGCGAAGCCAAGTTGTTGTATCACAGCCTTTGGAAAAACACCTTCCAAACCCTTCAGTTTCCTGCACAAGCGACAGAACAGTCGTGTTTTCAGGTGATCAAAGCATAGACATAACGAAAGCTTATCCTGCTGCCCTTGATGTTGCTCCTATTAACACAGGACAAGAATCCAATAATAATAATAATAATCAAAATAACACGGTATCCAAGCAGCTGCAAAACCAGCCCTTCCCATTTTCCAGTCATCTCGGTGTGGATATCACCAGTCAAACTGCAGCAATGGAACGTGGGGACTTGAACACGAAGAAGAAAATTGTTACTCCTTTGACTCCAAGTGGTTCGTTTATTTTCAGTAACAAGCCTGCTCCCTCTGGAACGAGAGGAAATGAGCAACCTGGAACAGCCTTGGGAATAAATGCAGGTTGCCAAAACTCAGGGAGGCAAGAAAAAACCCACCCTCTGAGGGCAGTAAACCAAGTGCTGCCAACTCAAGCAGATCCTGAGAGACATTTTCCGATGGGTGAAACACAAGCTTCAGTAGAGGATTTAAAACCTCCTCCCTCAGCTGATGGGCTGCAAGCTGGGACATCCCAACTGCAGAGGGGAAGTTCCCAGTTGCCTTTGTTTGGAGGAAAGTCAGTTGTGTTTCCCTCAGGTGAAAGCATGAACTTGACTGGAAGCTGTGTGGTGATGGTTCCAGATTACACCATCAGCGTTCTATCACAACCAAAAGCAGCGCCTGGAGACCCTCATCAAGGTGGAAATGAAATCGAGCCCTTAAAAAAGTGGCCCACAATGACAGCGAATAGTCAGGAGCAGCCTGTGGGACAGGAGAACTCCTCGGTGCGTGGCAGGAAAACGTTGCCCATGAGTAGTTTAAAGCATTTTGCTGATGAGAAACCAACCCTGTTTTCAGAAGATGCCGACATGGACATCGCCAGGAATCACACGGTGTCAGCAGACAACAGAGTCGTTTTCCAGAGGAAGACTTCAGACGATGCCACAGCCTTGATTTCTGGAGTTCAAACTTGTGTTTTCCCCTCTGACATGGAAATAACTAAACTCGATCCCTCTGCAGTCAGTAAATCCGTGGGGAAAGCTGCATCTCAAGGGGTGCTCAGCACAGCTAAAAGGACTGGAAGGAAAAGCTTGAAGGGAATACCAGGGGAGAAGACTGTTTTGTTTTCCCTGAGCAATGAGGACAATGACATGGAGATGACCCAGAGCCACACGGCTGCCATAGGCCACGAGAGTGCGCAGGATGAGGGAGAGCTCCATTCCCTCTCTTCAGCTCATCCTGTGAGGAGTGTGATGTTCACAGGGAGCCAGGCTGATGTGGGCATTTCCAAGTCTTTCTCTGCTGATAAAACCACAGGAATAGTTGTATGTGGTGTTCAGCCAAACTCTGGTGAGGAGGCTGGACTTCCCAACAGCCAAGTTACGATGTTTCCTGAGGATGATGTGGAAATGACCAAACCCTCCCACGGAGCTTTGACAGAGAAACCCCTGCAGGGCTGGCAGCCTGTTCCCTCCACCTCCACAGTCCTGTTCTCCAGTTACCAGGGTGCCATGGAAATGACTGGATCTCACTCCATTCATCCAGGTATTGGAGATTTGTGTGAGGACAGATGGATCCTGGCGGAGCAGGGTGGGCAGGAGGCTGCTGCAGGGGGCACAACAGTCAGATTTGCTTTGGCTGAGGATGTGGAGATCACCAAAACTCACACAGCACGGGACCCACAGCCCATTCCAGCCATTCCTGCTGATAAAACCGTTGTGTTTGCCCTCCACCAGGATAACATGGAAATCACCGCATCCCATACTGTTGCTGTTAACGACAATATTGATGGATATGAGGCCCACGCGAGCACTCAGCACTTTCCGCAGCACACACACGCTGTGTTGGGGTCCTCCAGGGGTGACGTGGATTCCTCACATACAAGAGACCTGAACTCTGAATATCCCACAAAACCTAAGGATCAGCCCAGCATTCCCTCTTCTGCTTCATCAACCTCTGTGTTTCCTAATGAGAAAGGAGCCACCAAGGCCCCCAGTGGCACAACACCAGATTCCATTTATTCTGTCTCACTTCCAGAAAAGACTATGGATTTCCAGGCACCACGGGATTGTGACCTTCCCATGGGGAATTCTGTCCCTTTAAGCAGGCACCAGGATCTCACACAGCCAGAAAACCTGCAGTCAAAGGGAGCATCTTTGGAGCTCCTAGGTAATGGTCCTGTGGATTGCAGAGAAGGAAGTGGCAATTTGGAATCCCATGTTGCCTTTCCCATCCAGGGATCAGATCCTTTGAAGGGTTCCCCAGATTCTTCTGGTACTTGGAGAAGCCAAGTAGTGAAAGAGGATTTGTCTCAACGTGGAGATTCAGCTCCAGATTTGGGCTTGGCTGGAGCAAGCCTCGTTCCAGCTGCTAATGAGGAATCCAAGGAAAATGAGGAGCTGTCAGCTGAAGGGGAGACGCCTCCACAAGACTTTCAAATCAACTCTGAACAAACCGAGCAACCTTTGGTCAGTGACAATCTTTCACTGGAATTAATGGGTGTTTTAAATGTTTGTTCAAAACTGAAGGATCTGAGAAGGAAATCTGCAGCTTTCTCCATTTCCCAAACTGCTTTTCCTGACCAGTTGCCCAAATCCTCAGCTCAGCCAGAGGATACCTTGAGGTTGGGAAAAACCACTGTCAGTGAAGCAAATAACTCCTCTGATAGCAAAGAGCAGGAGAACACAGGTCTGGAATCTGGAGCTGCTTCCATAGGCATGGCACCTCAGGATAAATATCCAGGAATAAATATCCCTCTGGGTATTTTCCAGCCTAAATTGCCAAACAGGAGAAATTCTTCTGTTTCCACTGTACAAGACATAAACGTGAAATCAGACAGAGCAGAAGCCCCAGTTCCAGTAAATGCTGGGGAAACCCCAAGTAACAAATCCACCAGGCAGAACTTCAGCCCCTCTCACTTCATAGCAGAAGAATTTCTCCCTGTGTGCCTGGAAGAAATGGATTCCAATGAATCTGTCAGCTCTGAACTCGTGGAAAAGGTTTGTGAAGACATAAGCAAAAAACAAATCTGCTACCAGGAAGAGGATGTGTTTGAAGAGACAAAAACTCACAACGCCAAAAGATCTTTGGAACAAGATAAAGAGGATCTTCAAAGCCCAAAGAAGGTCAAGAGGGATGAAAACATGGATGTTGAGGCACAGGACTTGCAGGTGAGCCTTACCCCTCACTGTAAGGATACACCAACAGGGCTTTGGGTTAAATTTTTGGGGTGTAAGTGGATCTGTTGGCAGTTTTCCTTGTTTTTCTTAACTGCTGGTTTGCTGTCATTTTCCTGTGTCGTTGCCTGTGGTGTTCATTGTTTTGCCAAAATAGAATAATCAGGTTGATTATTCAACATTCCTGGACCAGGCAAAATGGGCAGAATAAGGCATTTGCCAGTTTTAAGTCATTCTCTCCATAGTATCCTTTTAATTGTTTCTCAACTAAATGCTTTTAGTCCTCTGAACTAAACTATTTGCTAGTTTTGACTTAGGTACAGCGAGGCCTAAAGTAATTATCTATAACCCAAGCATGGCTGTTTAGTTTGAATTAATTTTGTTATAGACAGCACAAACTGCAGTTGACTCAAGAAAATCTGTACAAAGACAGAACATCCATGTGACCTTAAAAATAACTTTGTAATTGTCAGTATAAAATACAAAGATATAAAACATAAAGATCTAAAATGTGTGCAACAATTTCAATTGTGAAACAATTCTGCATGTCAAGAAACCATTGTTTCATATAACTATATTAACTTTTTTTTTTTAATTTGTTAATGTTAGGTTACTTTTGCTGCTGTGCCTCAGAACCAAGTAGAAGTTGATGAAGGTGGAGAACCTCCAAATCTCTCAGCTAAAATCCCTGACTGTCCTCAAAGCAGTGCCAGCAGCTCCCTGGATTCTGTTAGGGCTGACACAGAATTAACAAGTAAGGCTCCCTTTGGGATAAGAGTCCCAAAGCTTGTGTTCTCTACCCATTTAAAATATTATTAACCCCACCAATATTCTCCCTTTTTCCTTTCTGTTCTCTTTTCCCAGTCCAGCCCAGCAGTCACGTGGAGTCCCAGCTTCTCACAGACAGCATTTGTGAAGACAATTTATGGGAGGTATGTACCGAGGCTGGAAGACACCAACTTCTTGTCCTAACAGGAAAATACTGGTGTGTGTTATACACAGTAACTGTTCTTGCTTAAAAAAATGGACTTAGCTGTACATTTTTCCCCAAATTTGCAGAAATTTCAGAGCGGTGCTGTCACAGTTGGGGAGTTTTTTACCCTTCTCCAAGTCCATGTTCTGGTTCAGAAGCCCCGGCAGAGCCACCTGCCAGCCAATGTGAGTGTCTCTCCTTTGACAGGAACAATATAATTGACCTTAAATTATATCCCTTTGTGGGTTTGGGTTTTAATTTTTAGCAACTCAAAGAACTTTAAGTGAAAAACAGAAGATTTGTGTCTCCTCACCAAACACCATCTACTCAGGATTGCTGTTCTTGGATGAATACGCTAATTCTTGCTTTTTTAATTTCTTTTGAGGATGATAAATTTGAAAGCAAGAATTGGGAACTCAGTCTAATCTTTTCACTTTATCTTTTCACTGTGCCCATCTGCTGATTGCAGCTACTACTCTGCACTCCTACTACCTGTTGTATTCTCTCCTATAGAAATGCTGCACCATGACATCGTTACTCTTTATTTCCTCCCCTGAAGAAAAGGGGAAGAAATAAAGAAGTTTGAGTTCCAAATCTCTTCCCTTTTTATTTAAACTGCTGTCCCAGCTTAGTTGCAGTTGACTTCAAAAAGTTATTCATACTGAGCTGTCTCAGAATATTCATCAGGCTTAATAACTCTGCTACTGTGCATTAGTGACTGATAAAAACCAGACACCACCCCTCCAAAAGCCCCTGAAAACTTCCTCTGAAGGGTGGCATTAATTAATGTCAGTTATTTATGAGCTTTGTTATATGGCCATCTTGGGCTGAAATACCCCCCTCATATTTGTTTGTGGAATAAAGCTCAATAAGGCTTTATTCTGGGAACTTTGATTATGGGAACTTTGATTCTGAATTAAGCATAGTCAGCTTGTTTTATTCTGGAGCACTCTTGTTACCTGCATAACACACAGATGTTTTTAAAGCCTTCATCTAAAAGGGAGTGAACCTCTTTCAGCATTTAATTTATTCTTGTGAACTCTAGCGATGAGACACATGTCCCAAAAGGAAGCGTGAGGAAACACAAGGCATGAAAACGAAATTGGGTTGATTGGAAGTTACTATTCCTGAAAAATATGGGGGTTCTTTTTCCCCTTTTCTTCCCTGTTTTCCCCAGTGTGCAGTGAGTGCACCTCCTACCCCAGAGGATCTCATCTACAGCCAATATGTTCACCGACCCAAGCTGCGGATTTACGAGGAGGATTGCCAGGCCCTGTCTCAGAAAATAGATGAGTGAGTGCTTTTCCAGTCACACAGTGTAGCAGTAATTTCATTTCTTCACCTCTGGTTACATGTAAATGCCCTGAAGAAACTTCATACGTTACATATGGGGAAAATAAAACCACAGTTAACCTTTATGCCGGTGGCAATTTTATTACGGATTTAGAAATTAATTATATAAGTACCTATGTGATCAATGCAATTGCAACAAGGCTTACAACTTTTTTTTTTCCGTATTTCAGGTTAAAAACATATGCAAATGTCCAGGATCAGCTCCTGGTGAATGTGAACAGGAGTTTGTGGGAAGTAATGAGAACCTGCTCTGATGAAGAGGTAATGCTGCATGGAGAGGGAATGCTTACACACAGTGAACAAGTGGTTAATTTATGTATTCCGATAAAATAAGAACCAGAATGGTCACAGAATCGCAACAGGTGAAACAAGGCAAAATATTTTCTGAATGGAAAACTTCTAAGAATTTCCAGCATGTCAGAAGAATACAAGGATATGTGTCCTTTAAGATATGTTAAAGGGGGAAAAATTACCCAAAATTATTTGCATTTAAAACCCAGATGCATTATAAAAGTGTCCCACTAGAATTGAGAAGGTAGATCAAGAGATACTGTTTTCTGTGGTTCTAATGCCAAGGATAAACAAGAATTAAGATCTAGTCTATGAAAATAAAGAGTCAAAATTAATCAAAGACAGTATATTTCATAATTCATATTTAGATATAGGATATCACTACAATTTGGTTGTGAACTAGAGTCAGGAAGGGTTATATTCCCATTCATTTTCTCTTCTGTGTTTCCCATCGATTGCAGCTGAAGAACTTTGGAGCTGAACTGAACAAAATGAAATCCTATTTCACCAAGGAGAGTAAAATCTTGGCTCACAACGAGAAGGAGACATTGTACAGCAAACTGGTGCAGAGTGCCCAGGTAAGGAGCCACAGCTCTGCAGAGATTTGGCTTTAAAAAAGGAACTTCTACCATATTTCTTGTCTTTAACTGCATGGGAGCTTAATTATTTTAGTGTGCATTCTCCTGGAAGTTTCATCCTTTTAAATGCATTTCCCTTCTATTCATATGCAAATTGCATGATCTTTAGGGTCCTTTCCAACCCAACCCATGCAGGGATTCTCTGGTAAGTAACAAGGAAATGACACAAGTAATGCATTGTGACAGGATCAGAAATGTGTATCTATTAAAGCTCTAGGAATTAATTTATTTCCATGTCTTATCCCTCATTAGGGAGGTACAAGTAAGTATTTAGTACTTGCTTACACATGGCCACTGGCTTGTCTGTTGCCTCTTCCCTCTAATGACAGATTCTATCAGCTTCTTTAATTAATGAGCAAACAAAGAGCCACGTGGTGGTCCCAGAAGAAAATTCAGCTTGTTAAAAAATATCACTGACTCAAGTACAACTTTCCCATCTTAGGAACAACATGGAAAGCTCCAGGCAAGAATAGAAAAGGTGGATGAGCTGCTGAAGGAGGCAGAGAGCGGCCTGGTTGCTCTGGAATCAGGTATGTGTTTCCAAACAAGTGACTTATATTCTAATTTCTCCTTTTTTTTTCTCCAGAGCTGCTGTTCAAAAGGTCAGTTCAGGATTCTGTGTTTGTGTTTGTTTGACACAAGCTGCTGTCAGAACTTGGCATTGCTGCATAACAATGCTCTGTATTTTCAATTCTTTTCTTCCAGTGCCTTAAGTAGAAATCACATTGCACAGTAGCAGCTTTGAAACAATGCAATAAAAGGAGCTTTCCCTGTTATTACCACTTTTTGAGGATTTTTTGTGGATACTTTTCCATATTTTTGTACGTTTTTCTTAGTCACCCTTGAAATACTGAGATTTCTAGAGGCCACAAACAAAATAGACTCTTAAGTATTGAATCTGGGAGTTCTGCACAGACCTAATATTTCTTTCCCATAGATTCTTTCTGGGATGAAGGGGATGAAGTGGAAGGAGGGCAAAGCCTACAGAAAGGTAACAGAACCAGCTTTTGCACTTTTTGTTTGGTACTTTAAATTCTGGAGAGGATGATACTGAACCCTCATCCTGATGTATTGGCTGTGAAAGAGATGCTGTATTTTCTACATTGCATGTAGCTAATTATACAGATGTTAATGGATGCAAATGCCTGTTTTTCCCCTGGAAACATGGAATTTAGAGCTTGCTACAGTGTGACTTGAGGAGTCATATTCAGCTGTCATATTCAGCACATTAATTGTTTAGTGATTACAACCTTTGACCCCATATCCAGGCAGGGGTAACAGCCACCAAGTTGAGATCCTTCCTATTTTTAAGAACAGTGAGTGCACAGCAGATTAGGGCTTTTTGTGCTGCTCCTTTCTCATATTTTCCCTTTTCTAATTTTTTCCCTTTCTATTAGAACTGGAAAGCCTCAGAGCCCAAGAAGAGGAACTTCAGAGGTAAGATGTCAGAGGGGATGTCAAGGATGTCACAGTATTATGTGCACACTAAGTTTTTAGAGGGTTGGTGTGTTTTTAACTACTGTGCCACATCCCGTGGGATTGGTTTATCCTTGCAGAGAACTGTCAGAGTTGGAGACTGAGGATGAGCAGATGCTGGTTCAGATGGATGAGCTCAAGAAGGCTGAAAAGAGCTGTCGGGAAATCCTGGAGAAATATGAGTAAGGAAAACACCCTCAGGTTTATTTTTTATTAGCTATTTCTGGGGCCTCAGATTTGTACATGAATGTGTTGGGTTTGGTTTTCCTTGTTATTTGATGTGGGAAATCTTGGGATGCCCATCTCCTTGCAGCCTAAGATAAGCAATAAAGCCTTGGAGAACTTCCATGTGTTATTCCATCAACAGCTTTGCCGTGGTGCTCTATGTTCCAACATCCAACTCTCCCCCAGTTCCAAAATTAACATTTATATAAAATGTATGGTATTATACTTGCATTCCCAACAAATTTTTACATTCTCTTGGAATGTAAGAATCTGCTTGGAATTGGAAAATTCATTGGTATATTATGTGGTAAGAGCTGCAAGTGCATTTAATACTCTGATCTTTGTCCCTCAAGAAATTGTTTGGGTTGGTTGGTTGAAACTTGGGGTGATGGTGGGGTTTTTTTTCCCCTTTTTCAGCTTCACTGAGTGGGAGATTGCAGAATGGAGTGAGCAGCAGGCAGTCTTTAATTTTCTTTATGATTCTGTGGAGCTGACAGTTGTGTTTGGACCCCCAATAGGTGAGTCACAACATGGGTAGGTCTATGTTTTATGAATTTGAAATGTTAGTTATAGAATAGAAACCTGAAATTTCCATATTTGTAAGATCTGCTGAAAGGAATACAAAATATACTCCACTGGGTAAGCTGAGATAGGTGGCATGGCTTTGGATATGTTTTTCATCTGAAAATTCAGAAATGTAATGGATGGCTGTTTCTGCAGAGGAAGAGCTGTAACTCCAGAACTAGGTATGGAAATAACTGGGGTTTTTTTTCCTTTATTTCTCAGACGGTGATGATTTTGGTGTAGATCCTTCCAGAACCATCGTTAGCCTGAACTTCGAGTCTTTCCTGGATGGTGAGATATTTTTGGGTAGCTTGAAAGTAGCACCCCTGCTAATCTGTTGTTGGGAAGACTCTAAATTTGTGCTTTACCTGCTAATGCTCTATGAAAGGGCTTTTCAGAGGTTCCTGGCAATGTGTTTTTTTTTCTTTCGTGTTTCAGTGGAACAAGCTCCACCCTCCTCGTGTTTAGTCCAAAGGCTCATCTTTCAGTTTATTGAAAGTCAAGGAAACTGGCAGGAAAAGTGTCCCACGCTGTACTACTTGCCCCAGGTAACATTCCAGGGAATCTTATAAGACTCTGAAAAAAACCCTTAAATTTTTTCTGTCACAGAGAAAATAGGGCTGATCCTGAGAACCAAAGCACCTTAATGAAAGCTTCAGCAATGCAAGCCAAAATCTGCTTCAGGAATATTCTGAGGTGTGAGAGTAAATAACCTGCCCCTGAAGGCAGGAGTCTTAAAAGCTGGAGTTTATTAAAAGCCTTTTTTGTTTTTTCTGCTATAGAAATAAAGAATTAAGCTGAAGGCCATTCTGCCTCCTAAAGAATGTGGGTTTAAATTGCCAACCCAAACTTCTTCTGGGTTCCTGCCTGGCTGTGACAAGCCCATTGACAAAGCAGAAAGGAGAAACTTAAAGCAAAAAAATGTACATTTGTTATACTTGTACAGTTTCATTTTTTCCATCCAGACTGAGATAGCAGTTCAACTACCCTTATTTTTTATACTTTCTAGGATAAACTGTGTTTTCAAGTGTCATGTAGTCACCACCTGGGTGTTGATGTGGTTCCTTTTCTGATTGCCCCCTCAGGTTCTCCATGACATCTCCTTGGTGGTGAATCGTTGCAAAATCTTGGGAGAAGAGATGGAATTTCTGGAGAGATGGGGTGGAAAATTCAATCTCCTGAAGACAGATATCAAAGACACAGAGTGAGTAACTTCAGGTTATCATGATGGGATTCTTGGGGCTGTGCAGGGCCAACAGTTGGACTTTGATCCTCATGGATCCCTTCCAACTCAGGATATTCCGTGATTCCATAAGATGGGGTTCACAGCAGTCCTTCAGAGACTGTTTGTGGATAATCAGGAACAAAACTGAAATATTTTCAAATTGGTTTTGTTGAAGTTGAGATTTTATGCTGCTGTTTTTAACAGCAATTTAATTTATTTCCATACACTTGAAGATATACATACATACATACACATATACTATAGTATCCTAATGCGTGGAAATGAAGCTGTTCATGGATCCAGCCACTTCCTGACTACCAGACAACCTCTCCTTCCTTGCTATTTTCCTGCTTGACTTGACTCTGAAATATTTAGGCCAAATTGTAGCAATGCAAAGGAAATAGAACCAAGAGTTTACGTGTAGCTTAGGGCTTTGTTTCTTTCAATCTTCTCTTTGCCTCAGCCAAGCAGAATCAGTCATTGAAGGATGGATGCACTGAAACTAAAGTTTACTTTCTTTACTTTTCATTTTCTCTTGCTAATTGCCAATTTTTGTTGCATGTCCCAGTGGGATAAGACAAATACAGCTTCACCTCATCCTTCCATTATTCATGTATATCTTTAATTAAGAAGTGTCCAATAGTTAACTTGCTCTGCCCACCTTGGTGCTGTTCCCAGAGGTTATTCTAATTTTGTAGTTCCCTTTGCAAGAGTGCCAAAAATCCCATGGAATTGGAGGCAAGTCAGTCCTACTTAAAACTTTGGAAAACTTTAGCTACCTGGGAATATTTTATGCTACCTAGAAAACATATATTTTGTTATCTGTCTCTGTTATTCTCTGTTATTAGTCTCTGTTCTCCTGTAATTTTTGGATGGTTCTGTATTAACTTTTCCTGTGAGGGAAGTTGGGGCTTTGGATTCTGAGGTGTTGATAAAGTGCAAAGGGTCTCTTTATCTTATTCCTGCAGTTCCTGTGGGTCTGTGCTGGAACTCTTTGGAAGTTCTGAGTGGCATCATTTATTCCCACTCCTGGCCCCAATTCCAAGGCAGAAGCAGCACATTTGACTATTTTGCATGGATCTTTGTGTTTGTTCCACAGGGTGAAGCTTTTGTTCTCCGCTTCCGCAGCTTTTGCCAAGTTTGAGTTGACTCTGTCTCTCTCTCCTGACTATCCATCTGCTCCACTTCCCTTCAGTGTCCAAACCCACGTCGGGAATATCGGGTGAGTTGAAAAAGCACCTCTCCACATGACTTCATTCTGCACTAGGAATGGGGAATTAAGCTCTCCAGATCCTCTCCAACACTTGTGATCCTTTCATCTTCCCCAGGAAGGAGGAAATTTCTGCTATTCTCTCCAGTGTTCCAGTTGGTCACCACTATCTGCAGAGAATAATCACTCTGATCCATCAGAATCTGCTCCAGCATCCCAGATGATCCACTGGATGCATGGGCAAGACTGAAGCAGTCGGAATGGGTAGTCTTTGAGTTTATTCTTGTGAGAATTCCAGCTGTCTCTCACAGAATGGGAATGCTGTTACCCCCCCCCAGCTCTCGTATTCCTGCCTATTTAGTATTCTTGTAGTTTACACCAAGTATTCTACTTGGTGTAGACCACAAGATTTACAAAAGCAGAGGTGTCTAAAGAGGAGAAGGAAGAAATTCCTATGTCCTTTGTAAATCCAGGCTGCCTTTCGTCTTCTCTCAGTCACTCCAGGGGATCGTGACCTCCTTGGAATGTCATTCCTAACATGGACATTCTTCTGCCATAGCCTGTTAATTTAGTTCTGGGGTGATTTACAAAGCTCTTGGACAAAACAATGATGAGGATTCTCTAAATTAACTGGATTGGAGTTTACTTTCACCGTATAATTTCATTACCATGTACTAAATTGCAGATCCCACCAGGTCTGCTCTTTATCCATCTCCTGGAGCCTCTCCCAGTCTGGACACTATATCCCTGCATCTGATTCATTAACCAATTAACCTGTAGCAATTAACCATGTGGCCAAAGTCAAAAATATTTTTGGAATTAAGACTAAAAATCCCTGTGCTTGACCACCGACTTTGGGATGAAACAGCCCCAAAGCCGTTGGTGTGACTGAAGTTTGTTCTGAGATTCAGTGTCAGTCCAGCAAAATCTAGGGGTGCTGGTGCATTGTCCCAGTTTGGAATGCCTTGGAATTTTAGTAAGGAGACAGAGCTCCTTAAATTTAGGAGTATCTGTAAGATCTAGCTTGGTTTTGTGTATATTTTGTATATTATGTGGGTTTTGCTGTTGGATCTGGTCTCCCCCTGGCCGAGTTATGGAGCGGAAGCACCAACCCTGGCCCAGCTCTCAGTTCTCCAGCTGCAAATCTTCGTATCCTGTAAAATATGTTGAATTTAAGAATGTTTCCCTGTGTTTTAGTTTTTATATATTTTGTGTTTTTATAAGTTTTCCTTCTGTTTGGAAGGTGGAAATTCATTAAACGTTGAAATTAGCACCTTTCCTGCTTCCAGTGGGGATTATTGGCTGCTGTATTTAAACCGCTGACTGCAAATGTGATACTAATATTGAAATAATTTTGTTAAATACTTCGGGAAGACTTTCTGTAATGTGAAAGAAAAGGGGAGAAAAAGGGAAAAAGAAAAAAGTGGGGGGAAAGAAAAGGAAAAAAAAAGAGAAAATAAAATGGGGAAAAAAAGATAATAGAAGAAAAGGAAAGGAAATGCTAAAGAAAGGCCACGCTGCCCCACGGCTGGTCTCCATGAGCTCATTCTATTCTCTTCCCACCCCTTCCCGTCCCGTTCCCGGAGCCGTTTCCCGCGCGCTCCCGAGCGGGGCGGGGCCTCTGCGCGCGCAGGCGGGCGCGTCACGTGACGGGGCGGCGGGAGCGTCCGAACGGCCGGGACGGGACCGGGATCGGGATCGGGATCGGCACCGGGGTGAGACGGGCGGGGCCCGCCGGGCGGTCGCGGGGCTCCCCCGGGGCCTCCTCGGTGCCGGGAGCGGCCGGGCCAGCGCCGGCCCAGGGCAGCCCGAGGGGAGCGGAGCGGGAGCTGAGGGGCCGTGAGGGGATCGAACAAAGGGCCGGGACCGGCTCGGCGCGGGGACACGGCGGGGGCACCGGGGAGCCACAGACCGCGGGCTGGCACCGGGCGGGGGCCGGTTCATCCTGGCCTTGGACACTTCCAGGGATGGGCAGCCACAGCTTCTCTGGGCAACTTGTGCCAAGGCCTCACCACCCTCACAGCCAGGAATTCCTTCCCATTATCCAGTGTAAATTTCCCCTCTGCCAGTTGGAATTCATCCCCCCACTGTCCTGTCAGTACAATATCCAAACTCTGTGCTGTATCCTTAATGTGCGAGTTCCCTTATTTCCTTCAGTTTCCCGTGGCAGCTCGTGCCTCCCATCCTGCTCAGCATTCCCGAGGGTGGGACAGATCCTCTGCAGGGTCTGGAGCCCCTTCCAGCCCTTCCCAAGGTATTGGTGGCTGTCCTGAGGGCGGCTCTGGGGCACAGCCCAGCCACGACAGCTGGTGCCAGTTCAGAGGGCTTTTCCAGCCTGAATAATTCCATGATCCTGACTCGTGTGACCTCACGAGCTCTTACCAAAATGGGATCCTGAGATGTTTGGTCCCTTCCAGGGGGTCCTGGCCCCTCGCTGCCATGGCCATGCAGATGCAGCTGGAGGCCAACGCGGACACGTCGGCAGAGGAAGAGAGCTTTGGGCCACAGCTCATATCCAGGCTGGAGGTAGGAGACCACTTGTCTCTGGAGTAAGTTTTCCAGAGATCTGCTGGTCTTTTTCATAGAATCCCAGACTGGTTTGGGTTGGGAGGGACTTTAAAACCCCTCCAGTACCACCCCCCTGCCATGGGCAGGGACACCTTCCACTAGCCCAGGTTGCTTCAAGCCCTGTCCAACCTGGCCTTGGACACTTCCAGGGATCCAGGGGCAGCCACAGCTTCTCTGGGCAACCTGTGCCAGGGCCTTACCACCCTCACAGGGAAGAATTTCTTCCCAATATCCCATCTAAACCTTTTTCTTTAAAAGCAAGGTGTATCTGAAAACTCTTGCTAAATTCTTGTTTGTGTTCTGTCAAAAAAAAAAAACAAAACAATCCAAAATAATCAGAATTTGTCCCTTTTTCCCCCTCCCTCCCAGCAATGTGGTATAAGTGCCAACGATGTGAAGAAGCTGGAAGAGGCTGGATTTCACACCGTGGAGGCCGTGGCTTATGCACCAAAGAAGGAGCTGCTGAACATCAAAGGCATCAGCGAAGCCAAAGCTGACAAAATCCTGGTAAGGATGTTATGGAACATTAACCCAAGATATTCCACAAGCCTCTTTCTACTGGCTTGAAGAGTTATGGTGGTTTTGGAAGGTCTCCAAAGGGCGGTAAAGGTGGTTAGAGGTGTGACATGGCTTCTGATGAGAAGGGACAAAACCCACCAGGACAGAAGTGAACTGGAAGCGTGGGGGACAAGGGGAAGATATTTCCATAAAACACAGAAAATGGATGTTGGAGCTTTTTCCTGGAGCACAATTTCAGTTCTGTTCAGAGGTACCAACTAGTGCCCAGTCTGTAAAGTAAAATGTGTGTGGAATGATACAGGTGCTTCTCCCCAAAGCAGGAAATATTAATTACTGGGGGCTAATGAACAGGGTGAGCTCTCCTGGCACTGCTCTGTTTGGTTTTCCCTCAGGCTGAGGCAGCCAAACTGGTTCCCATGGGTTTCACCACGGCCACAGAATTCCACCAGCGGAGGTCGGAGATCATCCAGATCACCACTGGCTCCAAGGAACTGGACAAACTGCTTCAGGGTAATCACTTTATTGCTCTTTACTGCTTAACCTCCGTTATTGGGGTGGGCTTTTTACTATGAACATGATCCTTGCACAAAATCACACGAAACAAGTTGTGGTTAAGTGAAAAATTTCCTCAAGTACTGCTCTTGTATAATTGATTTCATTTTAGAAGCTGCAGAAATACTTTTTAAGCCTTTTAGTCACAATGCAAGATCCAGAGCTGTCCATTTGGGGATGTTTCTGGTTATTCTAGTCCATGACGTATTTCAAGAAAGCAAAACCAGGTATCACAATCTCACCATTCTTCTGGTAATCCAAAAATAAACCAAATAATTTCAGCTCTGCAGCATCTTCAAAAACACACCTCAGCTTTTTATCTATAACATGAACAAACCTCAGGATGACAATTAGTTTTCCCAATTAATGCTGAAACTTTTGGCCAAATTAAATGTTTGACTGAGTCTCTGTAATTGCAATGTTTTTGTATGTGGTTTTTGTTTGTAATTTTTATTATTAATTATTATTGTTGTTCTCTTCCCTTCAGGAGGAATAGAAACAGGGTCCATAACAGAGTTATTTGGGGAGTTCCGTACTGGGAAGACACAGCTGTGTCACACACTGGCAGTCACCTGTCAGGTGAGTGGGTCACCTCATTACAATCCAATGTACAGACACCACAGCATTTGGGAATTTGCTAATTTGGGCACTTTTCTTGACTTTCTAAGGGTTTATTGCTTTCCAGAGGTTGCTGTTTGTTACAACCCGGTCCAGAAGCTCCAAGCTTTAGCAGGTGTACTCTTTAATTTCAGACTTCAAGAGATTTTAGTATTCCATAACATATTAGAGGCTTGGACTTAATTTGGTAATTTTGTTGACTCCCTAAACTTACCAGCTTGAAGTTGAGCACCTGCCCTTTTGTTTTCCCAGCTAAGTGGGACTTTAGTTACAGTAACTTGAGATGTTACCTATGATGTTATGTATGATATCAGTGAGGGTATAAGGCCATATCTGGTGTATTTATGGACACTTCATTCCATGTTCCTTCATTCCCTTCTCCTTTAGCTCCCCATTGACCGCGGTGGTGGAGAGGGAAAAGCCATGTACATCGACACAGAGGGGACCTTCCGTCCGGAGCGGCTCCTGGCTGTGGCTGAAAGGTCTGTGAGGGGAAGAAAGGAATATATTTCCTCACAGCTTAGCTGGAAGACATTTTACACAGGTCCTGCAGGTTGACTTGACAGATGTTCACTCTGGAAACATCTGGTGTTGCTGTTCCTCTCCCGTCTCTGCCGCTCTCTCCCCACAGCTCTCGTGTCATTGTCCCTCAGCAGGAAGTGATTTCCCTCACTTTTTGCTACTGGAAGGGCATGTGAGCTTCCCAAGCAGCTGGGGACAGTACCAGATCCTGTCAGCTCTCTTGGAAGGGAATTTGGTCTAATCCTGCTGGCTTTTCCTGCAAAAAGGAGTGCTCCCACCAGTGGATATTTGGCAACAAACACCTCTGGATGACACTGATGACACTTGATACAGATGAGAAAGGGAAATGATGTTTGCAGCAGTCATAGGTGTGTCTGTGCTGGCTGTATACAGAGAGTACTTGGAATCATGGAATTGTTCAGGTTGGAAAAGCCCTCTATGATCCAGCCACTCCCCAGCACTGCCAAGGCCACCACTAACCCATGTCCCCAAGTGCCACATCCACAGGGCTTTAAATCCCTCCAGGGATGGGGACTCCTCCACTGCCCCAGACAGCCTGTGCCAGGGCTGGACAGCCTTTCCATTAATAAATGTCCCAATATCCAACCTGAACCTCCCCTGGTAGCACTTGAAGCTGTTTCCTCTCATCCATTTAAAATGGTTCCAATTATTCTGTTCTCTTTTCATCCCCCCGTGTTGCATTTTTTCCCTCTGTTTTTATCTCTCCCAGGAACGTGAGTTTTTATTCCAGCCTTTAGGCAAAGCTGCAGGATAGCTTCTATGGAGGAAGTTGTCACTTAGAGGTTTCTATCTTTATTTCCCCTGGTGTTTCCCCAGGTATGGCCTGTCTGGCAGCGACGTCCTGGACAACGTGGCCTATGCCCGGGGCTTCAACACCGACCACCAGACCCAGCTGCTGTATCAGGCCTCAGCCATGATGGCTGAGTCACGGTAAGAACTCTGATGTTGTGGATCCTGTTCCCAAATTGGGTTATCCTTAAGCTTATCCAGGTGACAAGCTCTGTGGGCAGTCAGTGATCAGCAACACTTCTGGCTGCTGGAATTCGGGGTGACAGCGGCTGGCTCGGCCCGATGTCACTGTACAAACACAGTAAATTGTCCCTCAGTGCCAGCCTGAGGAACAACTTTAAAGCTTGGTTTGTAACTGTTTTTAGAAATAATGTTGATTATTTCCAAGCTCCCAGGAAACCTGGGACTGGAAGTAAGATTTGCACAGCGTTAGATGGAAGGTGATGGTGGAATGGGGTGTGTAGGAACCTGTCCACAGGTACCTATGCTGTCCAAACAGGACGTTTCTAATGCCACAATGAACCTAATTTTTTAACCACACAGGAGTTTCTTTATGTTTGCTGGGTTTTCTTGTGTGGGGAGGAGCTGCCACCCCACCTGGAGCAGTATCCCAGCTCTCCAGGCACCAGCACGCTCCCGTGGAGGCGTTGGCCATGCCTGGCAGTGCTGCTGACCCC